TATATATATATATATAATCTGTATTTTCTCTCTTTGAGTATCCTTTAAAATTTCTAAGTTGCTTTTTCTTTCTCTCTCTTATTTCTCTAATTTCTTTCTTTGAAGCAACGGTAATGAACCATTTATTTTTATTCACAGGAGAAAATTTTACATAAAAATAAAAGGAGCTTTTTTTTCTTGAAAGTGTATTTTATTAATAAAGATAAAAAAATAATTTAATAAAAGAATTTTACATAAAATTTTTACTTTGAAGATAAAGATAAAAGAATTTTATTCACTAAAATTGTGAATTATATCCTTATTTCATAAAATCAAAAGACGAAAATTTCATTGGAGATGTAAAAATGATTTTTAATATTAAGTTGTTGTTAATCCAAATTATTATTTTTTTACTATATATAATCAAAATTAAGAAAAAAAAATATAATAACATAAAATTATGAGTTCAATTTAAGAGTGTTACAAATTATAATCACATATTTTAGGATATCTTTTTTAACTCGTCGATTTAATAAATATATATATTTTAAAAAAAAAAATTAAGGGACTTACATGCCCTTATCTAGGGGTTACATATAGAGGTTTATATCCCGAATTGGAAGGTATCAAGACTAAAATGGGAAGATAGTTACAAAATCTTCATAAATAAAGGTATACTTGCCATGCATCCTTTCCATGTAGTGAACCATTTGTTATTTGTGAGGAGGTACTTAGCCATGGGCTTTGAGGAGTACCAACCATTGCTCTCATACTCACAAATTGCAAAGAATTCTTGGTATATTGGCCCATTGAGTTGCGATGGTGGCCTATCTTCTTGGATGAGAGTCAAGGCTCCTCTGACTCCTCTATGGGGTGGTATTAGCCATTAGGATACAGTTTATATTATGGTGTATCCTCAATTTACACTAGATTAGTTTATGACTGGAAAAGTTTGTTCTTTTATGTCATTTGGTTCTGTGGAGCCTGGAGAGTTGTTTCGTACATCTTTATTATACTTTGTCCAATTTATTTATTTATTTTGAAAAAGCATTTTAAATTTTTTTAATTTTTTTTATGTTACAAAATAAATATCAATTTTGTATTGATATAAGGTATATATCTTATCATTTAACCTCATATGATTTAAATCTTATTAATTAGACCAATTGTGGCTCTAAACACTAAAAATATCTTTATTATAAAAAATATCCTTAATAAATAAAATATTATATTATAAATATAACGTTAAAAATACCATGATTAAAAAATTTTAAATTTTTTTATCTTATTTTATTATATTATTGAGTTTAGAGGGAACAAAAAACTATAAGATAAAATTAGGATCCTTGGAATGCAACTTCTTTAAAAAAAATAAAATTAACTATATCATTTGCACCCCGTGCTTCCCTACTTCCTCCTTATGAGTTGTGGCTTCAGTTTCATTTTATGTGTATGTTTGATTGATGAAACCTTGAATATGTTTGATTGATGAAACCTTGAATGTGTTCTAGCCGACCTCTTAGCAGTGATGGATTCAGAAAATTAAGGAAGGGTGGACATTAAGTTCAAGTACATATAGATTTAGGTCTGGTCTGGAATGTGACTTGTAAGCAGCTGCCGACTGACCGGGTTTGGTTTAGATCTAGATATGGACGGATTGCGACTCAACTGGATCGATGATGGAGGAAGAAGCAAATGTTTCATCTTCCAATAATAGAGATTGAGGTTTGAGAGGAGTGAATCAGTACGTAGATGCAAATGATGGGTCTGGAATAGAGCTCTCTGCTGTTAGGTTTGAATAATGAAGGTAGAGAAGAAAAAAACTCACAAGAAAATAAAATAGAAGGAGGAAAATTAAAGGGATAAGATATCGTAACAACCAACTAGGGTTACTACCAATCAATTTCACCATTAGATCGATTATGTTGATCCAACGGTTATATTTATTTCTATCTTTGTATGGTTATGATCCCCATATTTAGTGTAAAAATATTAAATATGGAAAATCATAACCATACAAAGTTGAAAATAAATATAAAATATTAAATATGGGAAATCATAACCATACAAAGATGAAATTAAATATAACCGTTGGATCAACATAATTGATCTAACGGTGAAATTGATTAGTAGTAATATTGGTAGTAACCTTAATGAGTTGTTATAATATCCTACCCCGAAATTAAATTGAAAAAATTTGAATTTTAAGAGAAGAATATTTTTATATTTTTACATCATATTTAAGGGTGGGCACTTGCTCCCTTCTTTTGTACGTGAATCCGCCTCTGCCTCTTAGTGTCCAATAAGTTGGGTCCAGTTCTTAGAATCTTTTAGATGGTGCTCCGCAGTGAGCTATACGCTTTATTGTGGAGATTTTTTTTTCCACATCATTGTACACTCACAATAGGAGCAAACCTCTCACAACGATAGTGGAGGCAAGACTAAACAAACGGTTTGACTCAGTTTTTTCTCTTCTCTCTCATCATTATAACTCTTTCTTCTCCCATTGAAGAGACACATGATTTCACACATTTTCATGAATTGTTACTCTATTATAATTCAGAGCCATGTAGCCGAAACACACTACCCCCCAATTGCATCCTTATATTGTGCTTTGATCCATACCATGTCACTATAAACATCCTATATCGATATACTTTTCTCCTAGAGATATACAGTCTTGGTTCTAAACCCTCGTCAGTTCATAACCTAATCTTTAAAATCATAAATATGATGAAATAGGATAAATTATTTCAAACTTTTATTTTTAAATAAGAGTATTTTTAATTAAAAGAATTTTTTATATTTTATATAATAAGAATATATTTATACTTAGGGAGTTAAAGTGATACATATCTATTTACAAAAAAAAAATATATATATACATATCATAATCACGACCTGTATAACACGGACACGCTCTTTTTTGGAAAATTTGTGTGTCGGACATGTGTCCGACACGGACACGCTCGGACACACGGTCAATATTTGAGGACATGCGGTCAACTCTCCGACACGTTCCGACATGTTTTTCGACATGCAGTCAACTTTTTCTGACACGCGATCAACGCTCAAACACTTTTTTTTTTAAATTCTTAATTTTATTTTGTTAACTAAATATAAAAGAAATAATTTATAAATTAATTTTTTTTCTGTTATAAAATTTGACATGAAAAATTAACAAAGTATGAAAAATTATTTATATTTATATTTATGTTATGAAATTTAAATATTTGATTGGTTATATGACTTATTATGGACTCTTATATGTATTAAATATAAATTATATTATATATGTTAAAAATTTTATTTAATATCAAAACGTGTTCCAATATGTCAAAATATAACATTTTTTAGAATTAACGAGTCGGCGTGTCGTGTCCCGTGTCTGTGTCCGTGTCCGTTCATTATAAATCACGACTCACAAGTGTGTAAATGATAAATTTGAAATTATGAAAAGTTAAGTGATATACGCGGCAACAAAGTGAAACTTTCCCTTTAAATAAAAATGTCTAACTTTTGTTATCAAAAAAAAAAAAAAAAAATGTCTAACTTTTAAAAAATATATATATGTTTTCTTCGATTAATCCTTCTCCAGCACACGCAACAATAGCTGTGAGTCTCACTAAAAAGATGAAAGAGAAAAGTTTTTAGTGGAACCCACAACTGCTATTGTGTCTACTGAATAAGAATTTCCTTTACTATAACTTGAGAAAATATAATTCCAAAGAAAGAGAAAGGTTATACTTACAACCTATTTTTATTTACAATATCTTACAATTATATCTTAACCGTTAATTTCTGCCAATCAACGGTTATCATTTTCGTAAATCAAACTCGTTAATTAATTATTAATTCACAATAAATGATAATCATTGATTGACGAAAATCAACGATTAAGATATAATTATAAAAGATTGTAAACAAAAATAGGTCGTATTATTATAACCTTCCTCCCAAAAAAAAAAAAATTCAGAAAATCGAATATAGTAAATGAGTTACTTGTTGAGTTAGCTTTTCTATCACAATTACGAATAAGAAAAAAATAATAATTCTTTTACCTTGAAAAAAGATATAAAATTTGAAAAGATTTTGTTTATGCAATAAGTTATAGGACACAAGATAATGAATTAAATAAAAATTAAAAATATTTAATATTCTTTGTTATATAATATCTTAAATATTTAAAGTGTAATAAATAAAAAAATGAATTATGAAAAAAATTAGTATTTGTTCTTACCAATATTAAAAAACACAATTTATATATTTTTGATAATAATTAAGGAGGAAAACTTCTCATGTTGTTGCATGAGACAAGATAAATTGTCTCATGCAATACACACAAAAATTGATGAAATCTATTAAGAAAAAAAGAGCATTTTTTATACGTTGCTTAAGACACTTACATGAGAAGCATATTTTTCAATAACTAATAACAAAGCATATATTGTTTAAAAATAAATAAATAACAAAGCATATATGGCTATATGCCAGATGCAATGGTTCAGATAAGACTCCTACATTCAAACATGTGGGCATCACAAGCATTGCATTATTGCATCCAATCTCTCCTATTAAATGAAAAAGAAAAGGACAAAAAACAAAACAAAAAAAGGAAAGAAAAGATACGTTAGATATATTTTTTAACTGTAGGTTGAAGAATTGAAGCTGCTTCCCAACTAAAGGTCAGTCCTCACCACCACTTCTAACAAGTCAAATTCTCTCATCTTAGGGTGAACCCTCAATATCCCCACAAATCATAAGTTTTCTCATTCATTCATTCGACTATTTATTATTCAGAATACATGTCTATAAAATTGGGGGTAGTTTTATCTACTTTCCTACATCTAGAGGCACATTTGCACATCAATAAAACTGGTGGGTACCAGCAGTACAAAAGAAAGGTAGTTACAAATATTTGGTGACACTAATATTCCACATCTCATTTATAAAGGGTCTACTTGCAATGCTTCAGTTCATTCTCACTTGGGGAACTAGTTGTGACTTGTGAGGCACTGAACCATGGGCTCTGAGGAGCACCAACCATTGCTCTCACACTCACAGATTTCAAATTTGTCATCAGATACTGTTGAAGAATTCTTGGAACATAGGCCTATCGGGTTGCGATGGTGGCCTAAGCTAGTTGGGTGGGAGTCAAGGCTCCTATGGCTCCTCTCCGGGGCTTCTATTATTATGTCCATTTTCAATTATATGCTAAGCTTTGTCACCTTGATGTTTACTGGGCATTTGGGGTCTTTAGAGCTTGCTGGGGCATCCGTAGCAAGTGTTGGAATTCAGGGTCTAGCTTATGGGATTATGGTAGGCCCCTTTACCTACTCTTTTCTGGTATTAGTAATGACACCAAACACCATTTCAACAATTTTTTTAAAAGTAAATTTTAAAAATAGCTTCTTATGCAGCTTTCGAGAAGTGACAAAATCTTGTTGAGATATATAGTCTCACATTGGTTGGTTGTATGAGCAACTAAAATGAAGTTTATAAGGCCTTGGACACTCTCACCTTTTGAGCTAGCTTTTGGGGTGGTGTATCCCAAGATTCTTTACATGGTACTCAAAAAGTAGGAGTGCCCAAGATCTTATAAACTCCACATTAGTTGCACATACAACCTAAAGCTAGCTCAAAGGGTGAGAATGCCCAAGATCTTATAAACTCAACATTAGTTACACATGCAACCTTGGGCACTCTTAAAGTTTTTTGGTAACTCGTGACCATGTTTATGTGTTGAGTGAGGTACTCTTTAAATGATTTATATTATATACTCTAATAGTTAGTTTATGCCAAGAATAGTTTGTTCTTATCTGTGTCATTTCGTTCTTCAGAGGCCACAGAGTTGATCTGTACATTCTCATTGAGGGAAGTTTTATTTTTAATTTGCAACTTAACTATAACTTGGTATATTCATTTTTTGCGATTTTTGTATTTTCCTTGAACAGCTGGGGATGGCAAGCGCGGTTCAAACTGTGTGTGGGCAAGCATATGGAGCCAAAAAATATGCAGCAATGAGCATCATACTGCAAAGAGCAATCATCTTACACAGTGGTGCAGCAGTGATTCTCACATTTCTCTATTGGTACTCTGGGTCTATTCTAAAAGCCATAGGGCAGTCAGAAAGCATAGCAGAGAGAGGCCAAGTATTTGCACGCGGTCTTATTCTTCAACTCTATGCATTTGCAATATGCTGTCCTATGCAGAGGTTTCTCCAAGCTCAGAACATAGTGAATCCTCTGGCATATATGTCTGTTGGGGTATTCCTTCTGCATGTGCTTCTCAGTTGGCTAGTTGTCTATGTTCTGGGCTACGGGCTTCTGGGGGCAGCCCTTACTCTCAGCTTTTCTTGGTGGCTTCTTGTCTTGTTAAATGGGCTTTACATCATTCTTAGCCCAAGGTGCAAGGAAACTTGGACCGGATTCACCATAAAAGCCTTCCAAGGAATTTGGCCTTATTTCAAGCTAACAGTTGCTTCTGCTGTAATGTTATGGTAATAGTATGACCACATGTCAAATACACACACAACCATTGTTATTTACAAAATGTTGCTCTTAAGTTCACATCAATATGTTTTAACAATGTAAAAATGTATCTTAATGTAGTTTGGAGATATGGTACAATCAAGGATTAGTGCTTATATCAGGGCTGCTCTCCAATCCCACAATCTCACTGGACTCTATTTCCATTTGGTATGTTAATAATTTCTCTTAGAATGATCTTTCTTATTATTTGCCAACACGTTTTCTAACAATATTCTCCGTTCTAATGTAATTTCAGTATGAATTACTTGAACTGGGACATGCAATTTATGTTGGGCCTTAGTGCAGCAGCCAGGTTAGTGACAAAACAAGGTGTTTTTCATTTAAACATTTTTCACATAAACATGTTAATGGTAGGTTCCATGATTGCAGTATCCGAGTTAGCAATGAATTAGGAGCAGCTCATCCAAGAGTAGCAAAATTTTCTGTCTTTGTAGTGAATGGAACAAGCATCCTCATCAGCATAGTTTTCTGTGCGATTATTTTGATATTCCGGGTTTCTTTGAGCAAGCTTTTCACTTCTGACTCTGAAGTTATTGAGGCTGTTTCTAATTTGACTCCATTGCTTGCCATCTCTGTTTTCCTAAATGGAATTCAACCTATACTCTCGGGTAATAAAGCTGTAAGCATAAGCACCATTTTTTATTTATATCCCTCTTTTTGTTTACTTTACTATGGAAATTTCAGGGGTTGCAATTGGAAGTGGATGGCAAGCCGTAGTTGCTTATGTAAACTTGGCTTCTTACTATGTCATTGGTCTTACTGTTGGATGTGTTCTGGGCTTCAAAACTTCTTTAGGAGTAGCTGTGAGTATGAAACATTTCTCTCATTAATTTTAATTGAGTTTATATAAAGATTAATGCAATACTATGCATTTGGGATTTTTATAGGGCATATGGTGGGGAATGATACTTGGAGTTATTATACAGACAGTAACTCTAATAATTCTGACTGTCCGAACAAATTGGGATGCAGAGGTAATCAAAACTCTAGACCAGAATATATTATCCATATATGTTACATAAAAGTGTTTATCTTGTTATGTAATGCTGTTGTTTGTTTGTAGGTTGAAAAAGCTATTGTTCGCATCAAGAGATCTGCTGAAGATGATACCTTAGACCAACTGGTTGCCAACATATAGAGGCATTTTATCTTTTATTCTGAGGGCATGGTAGGAAAGCATTTTAGCTGCAGAGTAATTTTGTTTTGAGCTACAGGGCTATTGTTGTTTGGCTTCTTCTCTCTCTGCCATTTCACATAATTTCGATAATCAAATAAGAAAGCCCAACTTTTTTTTCACTCCGAGCATAAAAGAATGTGACATAATCTCAAGCGGAAGCATTCAAACATACAAATATAATATTTCTAATTATTCATGAATATACTTACCATGTTGATCTTAGAATTTATGAATTTGTACAATTAGAAAAGATGAAAGCCATATCACCAAATTGGTTTCTCCGCAGTGGAGTCAGCTCTAAGACCGTCCTGGTCCTGGAACTCGCTATAAGAGAGTAACTGAAAATTTATTTAAAATTAAATAAATAAATGAAATTGTCACTAATTTTATTCTAATCGGGAAATTTTGAAAAACCTTTTTGAAAAATTGAGATCAAGTACGGATCCATTTAACAATGATTATATTAAATTAATTATATAAATAATTAATAAATTTAAAATACTTATAATAAATAAAATAAAATTATCTTTCACAATTACAATCCAAAACAATGATTGCAATTAATGCAAATAAGTTATCTGCATTTACTTTCAGAATGATGTCGTTTTGAGATTGAAAGATTAGAAAATTATAATTATAAAGACTATAATAACCTTGAAATAAATAAAAATTATAAAAACATCATGATTTCTGCCTCAAAACGATGTCGTATTGGGCTTACTGCAAATAACTTATCTAAATTAATTGCAGAAAAAGAAAACCCAAAATTTAAAGCACTGATAATTAACGTTACATCTTCCCAATGTAATTTGAATACCTCATTATTCATATTGCTACAAAATCAAAATCATAGGCATGTTTTAAATTCTTGTCTTGATTCTTTTTTTGTGCATGGAAAAAAATAAAAACAAAAAAAAAACAGTTTATTTTTTATTTTTTTCAATTTTTATTCATTAGCTACCAGCTCATTTCTTAGGATAGAATAATAAATTAATTTTATCAAATATTATTTTTAATTATTTCTGCTGACTGAAAAAAATTTAAAAAAATTGGAATATTAGCTTTCTCTCGTAATTACAAAGTTTCTAACACAGTACAATTTCATATTGCATTGTTTACATTACTGTCAATGTGTATACATCTTTACAAAACAAATAACTTAATATTAGATGAAAAATATGCATAACTGTGTTAACGATTCAAACAAGATATTTTTGTCTCAAAAAGTTACATTCAGAATATGAGAAAATGAGAAAAAGAAAATATTCAGAAAAAAAATTGCTGACATTTCATTCACATTTCTTATACCAAACACAGTAAATAAATATTCCTCGTTCCATTTTTCCATAGTTCTAACTAAAATATCCATACCAAACATCTCTCAAGTTTACAACAACTTTATGCATGCCAATACCATTTACTACCAAAGGCTTGGTAATAGCTCCAATCAGCTAGGAGACAACAACAATCTCATGCAAAGACAAACTAAATTAATAGGGGATGGATTTCTTAGATTTAAAGGTCAAAAAGCATCTCCGTTGCTGCCGGTGGGTGAGGGCATTCGTGAAATAGATAATCTACCATACAATCTGATGTCCCTTCAACGGTATATATTGACTCATATCTACCCTGGCCAGTTGAGTCAACTCCGATAGGCTCTTGATGTTGAGATAATCCGCAGTCTGCAAAGTGCAAACACAGTTAGCAACGTCGAAGTTAAAATAAAAGGAAATCCAAGCTATGATAATGAGGTAGATACATTCACTAGAGTAGTGGCGGACTCATGAAAAAAAAATTATGTCCGTACATTTAGTGGCGTTGTCTCCGAATTATTTTTGTAAAAAACGTTTAAATCAATGCTCGAACCCGCTCATAATCTAGTTGCTTCCATACCAAGCTGCAGGCAATAGTTTGACCAATTATTTCTCCCCTAAATCTTACCAATCCTCCAAAACAAATATGAGAATATAGTCCAGTACATCCATACATCATCATTCTATTTTATAGTGGTGAATAAAAAAGTCAACACAAGCAAAATCATAGTGAATACCTCGTCTCTAGATATTAACTTATTTGAGAATGTCAGACCTGCAATCAATTCTCTCTTTTAATAAAACTGAAAAAAGAAACAAAGGATAAAGAGAGCATGAGAATGGGTACGTGATAGGGGAGGAAGAATAAGTTTTCTCTCTAATCAATTTGTGTTGCTACGTTGTTTTAATCATCTCCGTACGTTGCTAACTAATATAAGAATAAATATATTTTTTTTGGTCCCTAACAAAAAATTTGGTCCCCACTTTAGTCCATTATAAAAGAAAATTAGTCACATTGTCCTTATGAAATTTAAATTGGACTCATTTTGGTCTTTTTGAGGGACTAATATAGGTCTTTTTTTTGAATTTGTGAGGGACCACGATTTTAACTAAATTGATCCACTTTAAATTTTTAAAGATCTCGAGACTAATTTTTTTTTTGTAAAGGACGAAAATGGGAATCATGTTTTTTGTTAAAGACTTAAAAGAGTATTTACTCCTAATATATATATATATATTGAACCAAGAGACAAATAAAGACGTGCAACCAAGAAAAAAAAAACTGAAATAAATATTTTTATATCCGCACTTGCAGACATTTGCCCGGAAGTGGATTCGCCGCTGAACTAGAGCCACTTGTTATAGGAAATCCAAGCTATGATAATGATTTATATATAACAAGATAGAGAGAGGATATTTTGACTACCAAAAGTTTCCACTACCACATTACTACTTATCTAATCTCCATTGGATTAACATTTTCTCTCTCTTCAAAAACTTTTTAACATTTTCTCTCTCTTTGATCCAATGGTGATTTGATAGATAGTAAGGTGATAGTGGACATTTTTGGTAGTCAAAATATCCCCCTCGACAACATATCATAACTTACTTTCTGCACATAGGACAAAAAGCATTCATTATTGATCCAGAGGTTTCAATCACTCAAAATTATCTCTAATTCTGGACTAACAACAGTAGTACACATCTTTCCCTTAATACACCTATTTTGATTAAAAAATGGAAAGACTATTTTATTCATTTCTGGCAATGTTATTTTGATGTTTGGTATCAACCGAAAACAATCCATATAAACCAATTATCCAAACATTTATTTTATTTTTTGGACTATTTTTCAAACGTGCGACTAAATCCTTCTGCGGTAAAGGAGTCGAATGCTGCAAAGTTTATTTGTAATTGAAAATGTTATGAAAAAGCTATGACAGTTTTTTATATTAGAAAAAAGATGGGTCAGATACCAAAAAAAAAAAAAAATGGGTTAGAATTTGCCATTAGACTCCAAGTTGACCTCACAGCTTTAATATTCCCTCATGTACAGCAAAAAATGACTTAAAAAATGAAAACAGTCGGAATTTCAGAACACTAACCTTCTTCTAACCACATGTAAAAATGCCTAGGGAAGGTGAGAGTTTTTCTACCTTTTTTTGTTGCTTGAGAACAGAGGAACATTTTTCTATCTTTTTTATTTCATACAATAGATAATAGGGGTATGAATTTGCATTAGGGGTATGCTAAAATTTTATACATATTTTAATTTAATATATTTTATACCAAATTGTTAGGAGTTTATTATAACTTTATTTAATTATTTAAATCTTTGAAATTATGACTTCATAAAATAAAATATTGTTATTTAGCATGTCAATATATTTTGGAAGCCAAATTTCATATTAAAAATCATTATTAATATTATTATTATGTTTTAAAATTTTAAGATGTTACACTATTTTTTTCTGTTCTGAAATTTTATCCTTAAGGGTGTGTTTGGTACAGGAGAAATTATTTGGTGATCGGGAATCATGATTAATGGGAATTCAGTAGAAATTGAGTTTACTTGGAATCTTACGAAAGATGTGTTTGGTTCGCCAAAATATTACCGGAAATACTGGGTAAAAATTACTGATTCCATATTATGTTTAGAACGAAATATGACTTGGAATATGAGGTTATTTTACAAAAATAACCCCAAACTATTTTTACTTTTGTAATTGATAGATTTGGTCTAGATTTTTATGTGTATTGGGGTATTTTTGTCTCAAGATTTATTGTTGTGATTTTCCTTTACTTGGTATTCTGATTGGTATTCCGAATTACCATATTATTTTTGGTAATCTGAATAGTGACTTTTCTTTATAAATCAAATTACCGGTAATCCTTGGATATCCGGGAATCGTAATTTATTCCTTCTACCAAACGTGGTAATTACATTTACCAAAGAAGGATTACCGGTAATCCTCTCCAAAAACTTGAACCAAACACCCCCTAAAGTTCTAGAGAATTTACACCGTGGTAATTCATTTTCCTTCTCCCAAGGAGTTTCTGTAAGGGTGAGTCCTTTTCATTGCTTGCGTTTATTCCCAGCTGCTTCAAACCTTCAAAAAAATCTGCATTGATTTAATTTTTCATGATCAAGTACTCTTTTACCTGCATTGATTCATGATTAAGGACATAGAATGGTCGTCAATGAGATATGAAAAATAGACTTGTTTCAGGATGAATTGTTTCGTCAACCAAACATCCATACATGATATACTATTGTCCCACCAATCTCTGCAGTCACAAACGGCTGAGCTCAAAAAAAAAAAAAAACAAGAAGAAGGCGGTTCCTATTTTTATTAGCAAATATAACTAAATGGGTGAACATGTCATTTAATCAATAGATTAACACAACATCAACAACAGACATGCCACTTATAAGGGGATTGCGCAAGGCGTCCCAAAGATTACAAACGCGAGATCAAAAGTGGTATAATTGAAGCCTCCTCTCCCATCACTGGCTGGAACAAATCTAGCTCCCCATAACGCTCCAAGACACGCATCCTGCAGTCCTCAGCGGCCATCATTCCAGTAGAGAATGCACCATGCACAGACCCCGAATACAACATACTTGTTGCTTCCCCTGCAAAGAATAAATTATCTACGGGGACCCGTAACCTCTCATACAGATCATGTGGTTTCCCGACTGCATCATAGCTATAAGAACCTAGTGAATTAATATCTGTACCCCATCGGGACACAAGATACTGAATCTGCAAAAAACGAACTACATCTTCAAAACATGTATAACATACTTGACACACAAGTAGAAGAACTTATTTAATTCAACCATATAACTATCTTAATGAATATATGTACAGGAACCTAAACTGATTAAATTCAGGAGACTGTTGACTACACCAGATATGGGTTGAAGCATTTACTTTTCTTACATAGTTAAAAAAGTGAAATACATGAAGTATAAACTATCATAGTTACCGGTGAAGAAGCATCTGGAAGGATCTTCTGGAGCTGCGTGAAAGCAAAGTTAGCAGCTGCTTCATCAGACATTTTCTCAATGTCTTTGGCCAGCTGCCCAGCAGGCATGTAAACAAGGACAGGATGACCCGCAGCCTTGTGGAGATTAAGAAAGTAGCTGCATCCATAAGATGTCTCTGCAACTACTCCCAAGAACTCCACATTAGGCCAAAATACATTTTTAAATTTTAAAATTATTTTATTCTCAATCCCAACCCCAATATCAGTAATGGCAGCTTCTTTCCAGTCTGGGAGCTTTGGCTCAAATTTTATGCTCTTTGCTTTCAGCACCCCAAGAGGTACAGCAACAATAGCAGCATCAGCAAAAAATGTTTTCCCATTTTCCACCATCACCTTTACTCCATTATATTGCCTAACAATTTTCGTGACCCTGGAAAGAGGTATTATGAATGCCAGTAAATTTAGTTAACCGCCACAACAGGACAGGGATTTCTAAAACAAAACTTTACACTAATATCTACCTGTGTCCCAAGCGAACGTCAAGACCCTTGGCTAGGGTATGTATAACAGGCAGGTAGCCCCTGACCATAAGACCATGACCACCAGGGAGCAATACTTCCTGTAAGCATACATACAGAGAAGGATAAGTTATACATGAAAAATGTTGATGCATGAGGTAATTAGTAAGTTACAAGCAACATATTGTGACTAGTATCATCATATGAAGCCACTTACCAATCTCATATTACATCATTTACATCTAATATCCTTTATGAAAGTCAGCACAAATGGCACACACATTACCATTTAACCTCAAACTCAAACCTATATCACATAAATGCGAGTTTGCAACATAACAATCTTGTTCATAAATGATAGGTATAGAAAAATAAAATAAAATTGAAAAGGATAAAGAGCTGAGATTAAAAAAAAAAAAAAGTTGCCCATTCATGACACTTCAGCCCACCAACTATCCATGATTGGTCATGCAATTCAAATTTCAATGACAGAAACATATAATGGATCATACAGATAATAGAACCCAAACATGTTGAACTTGGTTTCTCCAATTACCTGATCCCATCCTTTCAGTGATATGGCTTCAGAATCTGCAGCAAACCAGCCCTCCAATCTGCATAAATACCACTGAAGCACCTTGTGAGCAATCCCCTCCAACCTGCATCCAATAGTGAAAGACAAATTACAGATTACTTGAGATTCAAGAAAATGAATAATGGTGGTCAAATAATTTAAAGTTTTAAAATGACCTAAATTCTGGCTTTCTTTCAAAAACAATTGAAAGTGCACGGAGTATGGACATGTCTTCACTGAATTCCTGTCGTACATTATCAGTCTGCATTAAACAAGGTCAATCATTAGAGGGGATGCTCAATATAACAATAATTAGAATCAAACAATAGTCTCAATTAGAAAAGCATTGTATTTCTGAAATTTTGCTTTCTATTGTGACAGTTCAATATGTCAGGTAAACCCAATAACTGGAAATACTAAATGACTAACCTCCTCTAAAATCATTTCAAATATTTTACCAACTTTTGTTACCAACTCTTGGGGAACTTGATTCCCATCCATATCAAAGAGTGCATAGCTGCAAGAAGTTGATGAATTTCAATTAGAAAAAACTTGTACGTAATAATGTATACCACTCAAGACAACCAGTGGATAAATTAAAGCATACACTATGGTCATCAATTTATTATTTAAGTGCAGCAGAAATAAATAACTAATACCATGTAGTATAAAAAAGAAATGCATTTACCTTTCCAAGTCATGATCATAAAGGACAGAATTATCCTCACTAGTACGGTAAAGAGGTAGTCCCAGCCTCCCAATCAATGGAGCCAGTGGATTCTCGTTGCAAACTCCATGCAACCTGAATCATAGTCTGCCACTTTTAGTAATAGAAAAAGAAAAAGAAATGCCACATTCGCATCAACATAAAAATAAAAACAAATGAGAATAAAGGGAGTATAGTCTTTACCATGATGCACCCAGGTCAACAGGAAAGCCAAACGAGTAATCAGTGTGAATTCGGCCCCCAAGTCTCTCGCGTGATTCTAAGAGAACAACCTGACCAAAAAAGTACACTCAGCATAACTCCAAACGCCAAAAAATGAACAAAAACCTAAGAAAATATGTATGATCCGGGGGAGGGGGTTATAGGGGAGAAACATAACAACAAAGGAGATTTTGCCTAAAGTACAAAACCAGTTCAATTCTAAACTAGCAAAGTAACCATGTGAAGTGGTATCACACAGCTGGAACCATAAATCTTTTTTACAAACAACCTGTAAATTGAGCCAAAACATAAAAATCACTATCATAAATGAATTCAACAAATTTTCCAGTGAAATAGATTGTAATTAACATTAAACTACTAAGGGACACAGAACAAAGTTCCATGTACAGAAGATTTAGTTCTTAATAGTTTTCAATTAATAGAAATGACTTGCAAACCATGCAGCTCATTACAGGCACAGATGATTGCAGTTATGTAAGTAGCCACAAGCCAGAATCGGGCAACATATCATTATGCATTAGAGTGGCATGCAATTCTGACAAACTAAAAATTTTGAAGTTAAAGATAGTAGCTAAATACACTATTTGCTTGAATACCTGAAATGAGGCATCATGAAGTGCACGAGCAGCAGCAATCCCAGCCATGCCACCGCCTACTACAATAACAGAAGGTGACCTCTCCTGCTGGCCGTCAACGTTTGCATGGCAAAGACCTACAAGGAAATAGTGGGCGGGATCCAAGTTAATTAAAGCGGATACGCAGAGATGAAAGCAAAACATCTGAAAAAGACAATTTTTACATACACAAGCACAAGCACAGCTCAATTACAGACCAATCTAACTTTCTGCTTTCATAGTTTGACGGATGATTTACCTTTTCAAATCGTACCCGGATTTTTTTAGCAATAAAAAGATTATCATGATAATAATATTCATTTTTAAGTACATAGGAGTAAAACCAGCCAAAATATGGGACATCTTCACGCCTGGATTCCAAGAGATCGCAATATTATTCTCTCAAAAGAGTTAAGAATACTTTCAATAGCACTAGATCTATTTTTATTTTTATTTTTTATACATGGGTGTAATTCAACACATAACCTAATACAAACTATCCAAACACCTCACCATTAATCGCTTTACTAGATCTATTTCAGAATACCCTTATAAACAAAAACTTCATGCACCGACATTTACAAAACAAAATCAATTTAAAGTGAAACTGTAGACACATTAAATAAATAAAAGAATTGGAAAAATAATAAAAACAAAAAACAGCGTCATCGTAAACAAACCTCTGCGTAATTGGGGATTACTCTTAAATCGGGACTCCATACCGTGAAGATAATCCGCTATTACGATTGAGATTACTGTTAATGTTGATTAATAACGGTTCGAGGGAATTACTCTCGAAATTGAAGAAAGAAGAGCGTGATTGAGGTGAGAAATGGAGGATAAAAATTAACAAACAAGTAATGAAGTGAAATGAATTCAAATTCGAGAATAAACGCAGCTTCCCGAGCCAGCTCATGCAGCTAATTTTTCCAAAGCTCAACCACTCTCAGCAAGATCGGATCGCGAAGAGACCAAGCGTAAATCGCTTTTGATTGTGGAGAATCGCGGAGAAGAGGATTTCGGTTGGTGTTTGGTTTCCGAGAAATTCAGAAAAAGGAAAAAGGAAAAAGAAAGAAATTTGAGCTGAAATAATTGGCGTGAAATTATTGTCAGAAGTTGCAGCTTTTTTATTATTGAGTTGGTTGGGTTAGGGTATATGCCAGCCAAACCAACGAGGATGACACGAAACGACGCATCGTTTGGCTAGGTTCAAAACGACAGGCAAGTATGATTGATTTGCAAATATTAAAGTGAAAGAGGTAATGTTATCGAAAAAAAAAAAAAATGAAAGAGGAAAAGGAGAAAATATAGAAAAAACGAAAAATATATATATTATACTCCTGACACGGTGAGTCTCCTACGCTACTTCGAATATTCGTACACGAATCAAAAAAAAAAAAATTCCAACGGGAAAAAAGACAAAACCAAAAACAAAAAGAAATTAAATTAGGATTATTTCTTTTATTATAATTTATTCAATATTTTTGGAATTTAAAAAGGAAAAAATTGTTTTCATCTTAGATGATTTAAATGAAATGATCGTGTTTTGATGAATTTTTATCTTCTTTTTTTCATAATACTCTTTTTTTCTCTCTTATCCAAATTTTGTAGAGGAGAAAGAATATAAAAAAATAATATGTATCAAAAAATAATTATTTCACTTAAAATAACACAAAATTATGTCTTTTAAAATGATAAATATTTTTTCATTTAAAAATTATTTACAACATTTATCTCTATCTAATTATAATAATTTAAGGAAAGGCATTATTTTTTTAACAATATTCATAAGAAATTACTACATCCATTTAAAAATATGATAGTTTAATTTAAAAATGTATAAAAAAACTAAAAACATCTTTATTTTTAAAAAAATATAATTATATTTTACCCTTATTACCATTTATCAAATTATCTTAATAATTTTAAGAAAAAAGTACTTTTATAATTTCTATATATTAAATGCTAAATATTTTTATTTCAGTAATTTTAAATAAAAATATTTTAGAATTTGGTTAAAAGTTGAATCATATTAAATATTACATAATGTTCATAAAACATTTACCAAACAATTATTAAGAGAAAATTATTGCTATATAGTCATTGTTACGTGTTTGTGTTTTTTGAAAGTTTAAAATATTAAAGTCATTCATTAAAAATTATATTTGATTGGACTAATCAAATATTTGATGATTCAAGATTGTGTGTTAAGATGTAGTATCAAACCAACGCACGTATTACCAAAATAGTTTAGTACAATATAAAGAGACATATTCATAAAAGCATCAACAATGAGATTCCATACAACCAATTTGGCTTGCATCATGAGAAGTGAGAAGGTGCCACTGTGAAAGTTTAGGTGAGAAATGACATCACAAAACCTTTGAAAGGGATTATATTATAATTAGTAATGCACATTCTGTGTGTGTGGGTCTTCTTGTTTGTCGTTAAAGAACACGTAAAGGAGCAGACTACTAAACTTTGGACGACAAATTAAAAAAGAATTTTATTAATCTTATGTTAAAGAAGATAAGTTATCTCATATTATCGAGATAAATTTGTGAACTCTACCACCTGAAAAAAAAAAAAAGCACAATTATCGAAAATATGTAGGAGAGAAATTTATCATATATAATATAATATAAGAGTAATTTTTTTCATTAAAAAAATATACGTTTGAAGGAGGCTATATATTTCGAAAACTAACAACATGCAGCTTTATTTATTGGAAAGAGTTAGCTACTTTAAAAATATCTTAATAGAATAATAGGGCCCTAACTTTTTGTTAATAGTGGGAGTCAAATTTAATCACGTAGAAGGCTAGAACAAATAATAAGCGAGCTTTAGAAGACAAAAAATAAAATAAAATCCTAAACTAATTTGAAAAAAGATGATAGAAATGCGAATTAAAAAAATGTGAATTATTAAAAAAATAATAGCATCGCTTTCCCAACAGTTCATTAAAAAATTGTTGTTATTACATTATTGTCTGAAAAAATTTGATAGCATGTGAGGATTGTGTCATCAAGAATTCAGTGAGTTGGATGTTAAACTAAACTAACTAATCTTAACACACATTTTCTTATATTTTAATTTGTAAAGAAACAAAAAAGAAATTTAAATAATAATTAAATGGTAGCTCGGAAAGTAAATGAAATCAATAAAGCTTGCGTCATCGACCGTCCACGTGGCGTGGTGGATGCAAAAACTAAAAGAAAAGGACAAACATTTAAAAAACCCTTTTTTTGCTTTTCCAGTTTTTCGTACGAAAGCGGCTTTGTCACGCTGCAATCTCAAAGCAGAGACGTGCAATGCAGAGCAGCCAGAGCACAACACAAGAATACTCCGTCATCAACCACTTCTCACCTTATGATTAAATTTCAAAACCTAAAAGTCAAGTATTATTATTTATTTGTTTTTTACTAGTAGGTGTGTCAGCTATTATTATTTATGATATTTCTTCCAAAGTATTGATCATCCGATCAATTTTTTTTCAGGGATTGGAGAAAAGAAAAAAAAGAAGAAGCTATTGACACATTTTTATTTTTATTTTTTCAAAATAAATAACAATCACTTTTGTACTTTAACATTAAAAATTAGTGAACGAAAGTTTTTATAGCTTTCCATACTGCCTTAGAGCCAGTTCGTTTGAACTTTTACAAAAAATAGTTTTTATGTCTTATTTATTTTAGAAGTTTTTTTTTATAAAAGTTAAAGTTATTTAAATTTTAAAAAATATTTAGTTTTTAAAAAAATTATTTAACTTTTAATTTCTGCTTTTTTTTAAAAGTTAATATTTTTAGTTTCCAAAAAAATGGGTTTTTAATTTTTTTTATAACTTGTGTTTTTTTTAAAAGAGATATCCAAATGGCTATAAAAAAAAAAAGATATCCAAATGAATTTATAATGAGAAATATTTTTTTTTTCTTAAAAAAAAAGCACTTTTGAAGAGAGAAAAAAGTTCATCTAGACGGAGTTAGTTGACGAGGCATTCAAACTTCAAACCTCAATTCATAAGTTTGTATCGTGAATTCGTTAACCCTTTCAATTGGTGTTGTTCAAAAAAATTCAAAAGAATTTTTAAACAAAACATATGTGTCAACGTTACAATTTGTCAAAAAGAGAGAAGCTTTTTTTTTTCATTCTTCAAAAGATTTTTTATATTTCAAGAAATAAAAAAATAATTAGAAAAAAAAAAGTGAAAAAGAAAAGGATAAAAAAAGGGGAAGAATGAGGAGGAATAAAACAAAAAAAGAAAAGAACAATAAACTAAAACATAAAGGGCCCAACTGCACAAATTGTCTATACAGGAAAGACTTTGTATATAGGTAGGAAAATCCAAATAAAGAAAAGAAAACGAGCATTTCATTATTTTCATCCTATTGCGTTTATCTATTGATTAATGCTATCAATAGAGCTGGCAAAATGGGCTCGGCTCGGCGGGCCAACCCGTTCAATCCGCTAAACGTAGTGGGGCTAGTTGAGTTTTTCAATTTATCTCAAAAGCGGGACGGGGTGAGGCGGGTTCATTTTTTAGTGGGTTAATGGCAGGCATAGACGAGTCAGTGTAAAATAGGCTCGAGCTGGCGGGCTGAGTTTTTCAGCCCACTTTCAAAAACAGAGCGGGACAGAGTGGGCTGACTTATTTTTTGACGAGTTAATAGCGGAGCGAGCGGGACAGGACGGACCGGCCACTTTAGCTATCAAGCCTGTTAATAGAAGACAAGTCACCCAACACATGCAAATGTCACCAAGAATAGACCCATGGCATGGCCCTATAGACCAATCGATCACTTCCACATCCCATTAAAGTTTAAACATCAAAATACAACCAAAATCACCGACATCCCATTTTTGTTTGAAGCCTGATATCACCAACATCTCCAATTCATATCTCTTTCAAGAAGGGTTTAGGAGAAAAAGAAAAATACGCATAAGTTTTTTCTTTTAAGTAAATGTTTTTTAGTTTAAGAATCTTTGAAATGAAATAAATAAAATGAAACATTATTATAGAATATTTTAATATTTCTTTATGTATTTTTATAAATATTATATAAATTTCTTAATTTAAAATTAAAAATTTAGGTTGCTTTTGTTTGTTTTAGTTGATATGTTCTGTTTTATAATTATAAAAGTTATTTTATTTTCGCATTATTTTATTTATTTTTTATTTTTTGGTGTAGTATTTTTTTTTAAGATGTGAACGAAGTAGTGAAAATGAAATTTAAAAGAAGATGTGAACCAATGAGCTAATAGCTAATTTTGCAATGAGGGGTTGTGCATGTTAACTTAAAATAAATAAATAAATAAAAAATAATGGGTTGGGTTATCCTATAGGCTGCGTATCTTGTGGGATGGATTCCCCAAATTATGGAATTTATATTTCCAAAGAATTTCAAGAGTTTTAAGTGTTCTTAAATTAAATTTCAACCGCACAACTTAAGGACGAATTTCCTTTAATAGAGCAAAGTAACTTATGCACTACAAGTAATTAAGTAGGTTGATTGTAATTGTTAGTTTTTAATAACTTTTGTTTTAATTTTATATCTGACTGCATATTGTAACTGTTTTGACTCATATTAGAATTCATCCTTTGCTATTGATTTAACAATGGAACCATAAATAAAGAGAAAGAAACCCAATGATTAGAGCCTTTCATTTTTTACATTTCTATTGCAGCTGATTAATTTAGCCATGCGGGGTTTTGAATATAGAGAAACCGAAAAGTGACTTTTTAAAAATAATATTTTCGCAAAAAAAAAAAACGCAACTTGTAAGAGTTGATATCAATCTTTTTCCAACATGCAACTTCAAGAAAGAGACTACTAGTCCATGTACAACCCTTAAATCATACACCTCTCTCGTATGTGTTTCACACAATATAATATGCTTGCTTCAAAAATATCATGATATTATCCGAAAGCAGACACTCTTTGAACAAAAACCTTTCAGGGTCTATTAATGGAGAAAGATGACCAGGACAGATGTGAAAATGGAATAAATTGATGATGTTTGAAAGGGAGAATACAACAAGAAACAGATGACCTTATCATGACAAAGGAAAGAAAACTGTAGAAATCCCTGATTCTAAAGAAACTTAAACCATTGGTTCTTTTAACTTTTTAAGGATTAAGGCTTGAATGTCATATCACTTGCAACTCAAGATATGCAACAAGACATGTGATTAGGGCATTTTGTAATGAAAAAAAGAAAGAAAAGAAATGAAGCATTATATGAAGAAAAATATCAGACTAATTTTGCTTAAATTGGTTGACTATTTCACCATTGTCATCCCTAAGTACAACCTTGTGTACAGTTGTTTATTTTATAATGTCATATGTTTCTTTACAAGAGAAATTAATCAGTTAAGTGAAGAGACAACAAAATTAATTTTGGGAGATTCGATTCTGTATGAGTTCAACAAAGTTTGAATCAGATTAATCAAATTATCAATAAATTGATTGAAAAAAAAATCTTAAACTGAATTAATCAAATTATCAATGAATAGATGGGGAAAAAAAATCTCAAGCTTACTTTACTTAAGAGAGTCTATAGTCTTGATTGTATGACAATGATAGGAATAACAACTGCTATTATGTTCTCAGACATAATAAAAAATTACATATGATCTTAATTTATTTCCCCAAGTCTACAAACAATACATAATGCTCTATCTGATGGGTCCAAGGAGCTGAGAACAAACCTGGCCCATAATAAATGACCTGTCTAATACAATTTCTCATCACCACAGACTTTAAATTGGAAATAAATTGCATGGCCTCCAAACTACATAAACTTGAAGTATGTCTTTGTGCTTATAGGTTTGACTCATCAGCCAAACCCTCCAATTGAACAAGTTTCAGGTATTGCTATTCAGTTAAAGGTGGAAGAACCTGAAAAGTAGAAAAGAAAGTGAATGAAGAAGGAAGATAACACAATGGAGGGAACTATTAAAGTTTGGATTATGATATGAAATAAAACCATGTCATAATGTTTTAAATTAATGTGTGTAAGTTTCTTAGGTATTTATTCTACCTCATCGATTGCATTAGTAAAAATTCTAAGGGGAACAAAGTTGCAAGTAGTCATGGACTGAGTAACTCTGAACATAGAAGTGAAAATTAAAACAATTCTTGCTACTAGCCACTGTTTTAGGCAGCTGCCATAATCACGTGTATAATTGACATTATAATGTGCCAGGGCAGAATGTTATCAATCATAAGGAATTTGTATGAGTTCTGGATCAAGGGACTATTAATTAGATGAGTTAATTTTTATTCTTCTAATTAAAAAAGAGGGGTTAATTTTTTTTATTCAGGTCAAAGCACCAGAGATTATTTTAAAGAGTTTCGTGTGCCATTGACATGGGGACAAGCAAAATTCTCAAATAATTGATGTGTTATCCCTATTTAGGGGTAAGCCAAAGAAAGATTGTATTAAGTGGCTTACCAATTTTGCCACTCACAGCATTATCAATATTAGCTGCTCCACTCCCGGGTCCACTGTTGTTATTGCTGGGTGCAATTGTTTGAGTATGTTGTGCTGGCTGGGAACCATATCTGTATGCATACATTGGCTGCAAGACAAAACCAACAGGGTAACAGGGAAAATTATCAATTCAATCAAAAGTCTAACTTATGATTTTATATATCATATCTATGAGGATTTGGCAACAAAACAAAAAATAAAAAAAAATGAAAATGAAATAAAGGTTCACTTGACAGAAACCAATTACCTGGGAGGCACTTTGCATAAGATGATAAGCCATGTAACGTGCATATTGCTCTGAAAGGCATGGGTTTTGCATCTGATTTTGGTAATTAAACGCATCCAAAACTGGATTTTGGGACATCACAGTCTGGTTTGGTATCTGAGCTACAGATATGGACTGATCATGTGGTACTCTCGGTAATTGCATTGAATGGTGAATAGAAGGCAAAGAAGGTGCAGTCATTCCCATACTCATTTGTGACATATAGTGCTGAATTCCTGGAAACATCATTGGTGTCATACCAGCCCCCATCCACATTACCTAGTAGCAAGAGCAACATTTGTCACATATTACTAGTTTGAGACAATTGTCATATGCAAGATATTGTATGGCAGTTTACCTGAAGCTGTAACTGAAGCGATTTCAAGTATTCGACTGCCTCATCTAACATTGATGCTTTGTCTGTCTGCACGTACATCCCTTAGCAATCAGTGACTCTATATCACTTTAATAATTTAGTCAATTAAAAATCTCTCTTTCTTTAAGCCCAACTCACGCATTCTTTGCTTAGCATAGTGCTTTTATCCCTAGCAATCAGTGACTATAGCTGACTCTGAATGCATGCATCTCTACTGAAAAAAGTTAAGACAGTAACAAGTCAACAAGCATTATGATAGTGAACCTTGTTACTGTTAGGTATCAGTTGCTGCAGTGCCTTCATCTTCTCATTGATCCTATCTCTTCGTCTCTGCATTAATAAAATAATACTTAAGAGAGTATAGTTCATACAAGATTCAAATTTACCAGAAAAATACCATGCCCCCACCCTTTCTGATAGATTATGCACTTCAGCTGCACGGCTTCTTCTGTAAGACCCTGCCCTCTTAGATGCCTTGTTTCCATCTGCTGATTTAAGTTCTGTGGCCTATTACACATATATAAACAACTCAGCAGGCCAAAAGAAAAAATAAAACAAAACAAAGCAAGCTTTTAATCATGAAGGTAAATAATGGAAAGAGGAACAGCTTCACCTCACTTTGTTCCTCTGATGCTTCTGCATCTGTCCCTTTTCTCTTTCGGCTATGATTTCTTGTTGATAGGGAACAAGTTCTTCCAATACTACTGCCTGAGCCACCAGAAGATGAAGTTAGAGTTGGTTCCACCATCTCTGATTTTCCTTTATCACTCCGAGGAATTGTTCTCTTGACACAATCTCTAACAGCTTCAGGCTCAGCAGATAAAGTAGTAGTCCAAACACCATTACTTGATGCCCTACTCACATCTGGGTCCTGAAGGATGTGATTGCTGCCACAGTGACTTGAACCAACTGTCATCACTGAGCACTCTCTGGCCTTACTTTGTGATAGATTAGCATTAACTTTCTCTCTAAACTGTGCACCAGCAGATGCTGAAGAAACAATAGGGGGTGTTGAAAAGTGAGAAATTTTTTGGACCTTTCGTGTTCCACCAAAGTCATTGATTTTCTGAGATGAATCAGGAACCTGAAATCTTGGAGCAGGCATGGGATTTCCTTGGAATTCCTGAACACAAGAGGGTTTCATATTATTATTAGGTGCTTGTAAAATTGAAGTTGAGAGAGGGGAACTAGAGGCAACAACTTTGGCAGACTTTCCCTCTTCCAATTGCTCGAATGGCTTGTAAGACTCAACTTCACATGGTGCTGCTAGCTCAGATAAAAGGTTTGAATAGAATTCTTGTTCCAATGGATCCTCAAGAGGGTATTGGATCCATGAGACTGTCTCATCTTGATGACTCAAGTTAGGTGAGTTCCCACGTGGCCCACTAGTCCTTAATGTTGATCGATCAGTTTTGTGAACTTGTCTCAAGTCAGATGAATTCACAACTGGTTTTCTATGTGTTTGGCTATGCATAACTACTTGCCCATTTTGCCATAGGAGCTCTACAAGTTCTCCTTCTGGCCTGTATAAATGACCACATTGAAAATTATTATCAAAGCAAAGTTAACTGGGACAGTATCCTGCTTTGACAGAGATAGATAACACACACCCTATGGGTTTCTTTTGATTGGTGACAAAGGTCTCACTCTCAAAATTCCAACCTGGAATACTGCTGTTCATTGTTAACCAAACACAGTTGTCTGTTTGGACAAGAGAGAAGAGAACTTTAGACTTCGAACCAACTTTACAAGCAGAGTAAAATAATCTTTATAGTTCAGATAATTGAGTAATCAAATGAGCATATGAAATTTTTAAAGTGAAAGAAAATAATAAAAAAAGAAAGCCTATGGGTCATGTACGGAACTTGACATGCACAAGGTGAGGAAAACCAATGAAATGGAACTACAATTTGGTTTTCCCATTCTGAATTGTCTAAATAAACAAAACACAGAAAGTTCAAACTCCAAGAGACCCAAAAAGGAAATTCATCTTCCTATTACAGTTGGAAGTACATGCAAGCAAGCTCAGAGAAATGACAAACAATAATGAAATACAAGAACTAAAGTTAAATACCAAACCTTAAAACAAAACAAAGTAGGAAAAATTTGAGAGAGTCATCTAACAGAAATTAAAGCTGTAGTAAGTATTAACACTAGAAGATTCACACACATGCACATACATACACACACACACAAATTCAGAAAATAACAAGTGATGCACAAATTGCTATAAACAGCACTTACTTTGGTTAGTGAAAAAAATAAAACGAACAAAAAATGATTCATTTTCTGGCAAAGAAAAAGAAACCAAGTTTCTTTTTTTACAATTATAATAAGTGAGTATTATAAGAAGCAAAAAAAAAACAAAAAAACAAAGAAGAACCCCACCTGAGTTGAGGCAGAGACTGTTTTTTACTTGGTTAAGGCATGGACTATGTTTATAATTGCTTGAGTAGAAAGTATAGCTAGATACTAGAAATTGAAGCTCCTTCTTCCCGGTTTCTTCGGAGGATAGTTTTCAATAGCAAGAACGACAGTGACATAAACAAAGAGAGAAGAGAGAAAATATGCCATGATAAAATGGTGCTGGTGCTTGTCCTAGTCAACAGCAAGAAAAACACGGTTGCACATGTGGCATCTGATGAATGAATACGGGACCAGTTGACAGAACATATAAATGGGGTCTGCAAAATTTTGCTTAATATGTTTTTTTTTTTTTGGTTGTTTATTCAAGGAAATCTAGTTCTCCATGCACATGGTGAGTGTTATCTGAAAATTCATTCGTTCATGATGATGACACGTGGCAGGTATATATTATTAGGGAGTGGGGACTGATAAGGCACATCATTGTCAGCAAAAAAACGTAAAGAAAGATGTGGCACTCATTTCATACAAATCAACTATACAAAGGTATCATTTTATTTTTTTATTTTTGGTTACAAAAAGGATCCATGAATTAGTCTTAGGAGGGTCGCCGCGGATTCAGAATAATTATATTTTTAAAACAAGTAGTAATTTTTTTTATTTAGAAATCGAAGAAGGTTATACTTACCACTTTTTTTAAAACAACTATCAAAGGTACACACAGCTTCTCCACACCTTAAATTGGCGTCAGACGCAAAACAGTGAGAAAAATTGAGTCCCAACTCCCAGCTGAGGGAGAGAAAAAGCAAAGGAACCATCATAAAATTGTTGGAAACTCGGTTTACTTAATTCGGTTAAGAAGTTTTTTTTGGAGAAGTTAATCAACAAGATTTTGGATGTCGGATCTTGGCAATCTAAACTCGCCCTAAATCCCCATGTCGTGTCCAGCTCAATGGAAAAATAAAATACGAAAGAGAACACAAGCAGATTTTAACGTGAAAAACTTTCTGAAAAAAATCTACCGGATCTAGTCCAATTCAAATGTCCAATAATAATAATAATGGGTACAAAAAATGAACATTCAACAAAGTCGTGATTCACTCAATTTCTCCAACCAATAATGGTGATAATTAAATTTCTCTAGATGTTTCACTCAAACTCTGTTCTCAAATGCAAAGCTAAAAGCTTCACTCATAAATCTCTCAAGTGTCATTCAACAATCTCTCAATAATATTCTTCTTCTAACCTAACATTCACTCACAATTAATGAATATACAAAGGAGATAAAATTTAGAGTTTAGGGTTTTAGAAAATCCCTCAATAGACTTGTGCATGACATTTAAGATGAAGTCCAACAAAAATTATGGATTTTTAAATCTCAAAATAAAATTACGATTTTTTTTTCAATGCAGCGGTACTCTCTTTCTCTCAAATTAAAATATTTCATTATTATATAAAAAAAATATTTCATTATATTTATTCATATTTTTCTCTAAGTTATGATACTTTATTTTATTTTTTAAAATGACGTAGGTATTTTTTTGGGGCTTTACTAATCTACATCAACAGGAGAGAGAGAATATCTCCTATTCCCTCACAATCTTACGGTGGAACTCACATAATTATAAAATAAAAAAAAAAATAAAAAAAAAAGCTAAAAATTTATGTTTCGGTAGAAAAGTAAACTACTCTCTTAGTTTTTCTCTTTTTTTATACCAACACTAATTATTTTTAAAGTTTTATGTTTGTTATGTTACATGATATAATTTAACTTTTCTACACACAATTGAGAGGAGAGAGGAGAAATGAGAGAGAAAAATCAAGGGATAAGACCCACATAAAATTGTGTATATAAGAAAGTTATGTTATATCATATAACATAACAAAGATAAAACCCTTATTTTTATTAGACAAATAGATTCTTCTGCGTATCCTCACAAAATTCTGATTATTTTAAGCCGGTTAATTTCAAATGTAAAACGAGTCCAAGATTAAATTCTTGTGCCCTCCCCAAAATAATATTAACTGGAATCAAACTTAAATTCTTTCTCACTCATTCGACATCATTGCACCAAAGTCAGTTAACAATTTAATGCCGATACTGGATGTTATTTGATGTTTGACTGACGAGAAATTTTTTGTTTTGAATATTAGGAAAATATAATTGATAGAAAAATGGTTAAAAATGAGTTTGATAGAAAAATGTAAAAAAAGTTATTTGGTTGGAAAAAAATTTAACCGAAAAAATTAGCTAAGATTTATAAAGTTTATATTTAATTTGAGGTAAAATATAGATGGAGAAGTAATCTACAACTTCACAATTAGTTTTCTAATACAAAATGGAGGGTCACTTTGGTCATAATTTTCACTCTCAGTTTTCTACTTCTATAGTTTTCCATAAATATCACATCTCAAGAAGTATTTTTAAACAGTAAATTTGAGCACAAAATCAACTGAAATATAGTTTCTTATGCAAACTTCTTTGCTAGACTTTTTTTTTCATAAACTTGTACTAAACATTGCATTTTAGGATACCTATCTGCAGTTCCCCATCTATTTCAAAAGAAAACCTCAATCAAACACACCTATGGATATCGTTAAATCACTGCCTCCATCATTGATAATGGGGCCGGTAAAAGAAAGAAAAATCACCATTGCATTAAAAAATGTTCCTGTAATATCAACTCAAGGAAAGATCCAATTCCAAGTCTTGTCACCTTCAAGCTAGAATCACCCACGTACTTTTTGCTAAAAGTTTTATTTTAGGATTGATGGAAAAGTATAAGTGGATATTGGAAAATGTCACCTTTGATTCAGGTTTTTGAAAAAAAAATACTAAGCAAATAGGATGGATGGAGAAATGACTTTTGTGTTGATTTTTGGATGAAACTCACTGTTACAAAATACCACTTGAGATGTGGTATTTTGAGATAACTGGTAAAGTGAAAAAACATGTGCGAAGTTTCTCCCGAACATAAATTTTGCAAATTTAAATAAATTTTTCTGATAATATTTCGGTCAACCAAACATCTTTTTTTAAACTTTCCCATCAAACTGACTTTCTTACCATTTTCCTAATTATTATATTTCTCTGGAAAAAAAATTATCAGCTACCAAACTCCCCACAATGTACCAGAACCTTCAGAAGCAACTGCTCTTATCTAATAAAGTACTAATAATGCTCAAATGTTGACGGGTAGGACGACTTTATAATAGTGAGTATGGAAGACTAGTATTTACGTGCCTTTGATAAAGGAAATAAAAAAATTAATCGGAAATTATGATTTTTGAAAATATGATAATAAAATTAAATTTTTATAAATATTATCAAAACTATTTGATAGATTAAAATATTATTGAAAATATTGACTTAAATTTTCTGAATTTATATTTAATTAAAGATAAAATATTAATATACCGTGAATTTATGAAATTAACATCCATGATATCTTTTCAAGCACGGTGGTTTTCACTTTGTTTAAATACTCGCCATACCCCACCTTGCTCACCGCCAAGAGCTGCTGTTCGGTAGGAGGTTATTTGGTTGAAAATCTTCACTTGCTTCAACGTCTTCCTGCCTCACTCATCGCTGCAGATTTATTTTGTTTTTCAACGTCTTCCTGCAATCCTGCCTCAATCATTTTATTTTCTTTTTTCTTTTTTGTCTGCCTCACTCATCGCTTCAGATTTGGTTTGTGTTAATTTCACCTGGATTTTTTTTTTTTTTTTTTTTGTCTGCAGATTTGGTTTGTGTTAATTTCAAGTCACTCATAGGCATAGCTGCTGTTTTTTGTGTTAATTTTAATTTTGTCACAATTTTCGCGATTGAGTTATCATTTTCTCATAAAAGTGAGAATACCACCATTTAAATAGTATTTTTCAGCTATATTTTGATTTAAGTTTTACACATAAAATGGAATTTCAGAATTTTTTTTTTAAATATTCTATCAAATATAATCTTCTTAAAAACTCACCCTCATTTTCTTTAGTATCTTAAAATAATTTCCCTACCAAACAAGATTAATAGTATGAGAGTTATTAATCTTATGTCACATGAGATAGTTATCTTATATGAGTGAAACAAAGTTGTGGGGCTCATAATTTAAAAAAATAATAATAAAGAAAAAGAAAAAATGAACACAAAATTTCATGATGTGCAACATAAGATAGTTGTTTTATATAACATAAGACAACTATTTCTTTAGTATATGGTAAAAACAAAGATTAACTGATTGAGACTGAAATTTAGCAAAATAACAGCAAGAGAGTGCAAGGAATGATCAACACGCACTCTTTATTGAGGAGTGTGGTATTTATATTGGGGAGAACCTGAGAGCTGAACGGAGATAATGTAATATTAACCACTAAATCAGATTACTTTTGTTATTATATTAATTTTATGGGGTTTGATATTGTAACAATCAATTAGGATTATTATCAATGTTATTATCAATCAATTTCACGATTAGATTGATCCAATGATTATATTTATTTCTATCTTTCTATGTAATGATTTCCAGTATTTAATGTAAGAGTATTAAATATGAAAAATCATAACCATAGAAAAATAGAAATAAATATAAAGTTTTAAATATAGGGAATCATAATCATACAAAGATAAAAATAAATATAACCATTGGATCAACATAATTGATCTAACGGTGAAATTGATTGGTAGTAATATTAGTAATAACTCTAATTAGTTGTTACAATATTCTACCTTTAATTTTATTTATATATTTATTATGTATCTTTACATAAATTTAATTTAATTTGTGATCATTAACAAGGTATCCGAACTTAGTTGATGGCCAGTACAAATTTAATAATACCGTATAAAACTAAGGGAAAATGTTTATCATTTTAAATAACACAATTTGTGTTATCTCACTCACAAAGAAGTGAGACCCTATGATGCACGGACACGGACACGAGACACGACACGACATGACACGCCGACACGTAAATTTTAAAAAATGTCATATTTGGACACGTTGTGACACGTTAGGACACGTTTTGGTATTAAATAAAAATTTTAATATATATATAATATAATTTATATTTAATACATATAAGAGTCCATAATAAGCCATATAACCAATCAAATATTTAAATTTCATAACATAAATATAAATACAAATAAATTTTCGTACTTTGTTAATTTTTCATGTTAAATTTCATAACAGAAAAAAA